TGTGTGGGTGCATTAGCATGCAGGAGCACAGCCAGGCACACCTGGTCAGGACCAGATGAGAAGCCCGCTTGCCTCCTTGCCTTGCCTGGCTGGGCTTACCTGCTGCTGGCTGGCTGGGCAGCTAGCATCTCTCAGCCCAGCCTCGCTGCCTCTGCTGTTTCTGTTGCTGCCGCTGCTGCTTGTGCTGCCCTCATCCTCCCTACCAACAGGCCAACAGGCAATCAGGGGGAGGGGGAGCCAAGGCTCAGGGAAGGAGGCCCATAAAAACCATCAAGGGGTCAAGCCCCATGGGCCCCACAGTAGCTACAGGCCTGCTTAGGGGTTGTGGGGCAACCTCCTGGAACCATTTGTAGGGTGTGAGGGGGCCTGATTGGGTGCTGCAGAGAGGCATGGCCAGCATGGAGGAGGGTATTGATTGGGTACTCACTTGGTTAGCTTCCTGTGCTGCTTGGGTTCTTATGGGCATGGCCACGGCAGCATGGGAGGTTGTGTTATTTAGCCCATCATGGGTGCCAGTGGGCTACACCACCATTTTTACCAGCACAACTTTACATGTGTTCGGGGGGGTATTCCTGCCCTGAAAACAGCATGGGAGCTGCCTAATTGGCGACATGCCCCCTGAAATGCCCATGTCTATGCTGTCACAGAGGTTTGTACTGACAGTCCATCATTATGCAGCTTCAGCGCCTCTGTGCTGGTGGAACTGCATGATGCATCTGCACTCATGCCCTGCACTGGTTTAAACAGCCCTTATGTTGACGTAAATCCCAGTTGCACCAGTGTGGAGGTCAGTTGGCTCCCTGTGCCGATTGTTCCCCCCCTTAGGATTGTGCTGTTAATTTTTTTGCGTAATTTATGTATTTAAGCATTTTTTTAACTGCAATCTGTTTTGTAATATTGAATGTTGGCAAATATAATTATCCCAAATGTTCTTTCCTTTAGGGTGACAATGTACTTATTAACACATACAGTGGAGTGCTAAAGATTTCCGATTTTGGAACATCAAAGAGACTTGCTGGAATAAACCCATGTACTGAAACATTCACTGGTATGTTTTCTTTCTAATAAAGGAAAAGCATTCGGGAACTTATTAAAATACCAGTGTTAAGAATATGCACTAGTTTCTAATCAATACAGTGAGCTGGTACAAAAATGGATTTGCTGAACTGGAGAAAACACTGGGTTGGAGCCTATGAATTCTAATACTGGCAGAGCCTTCCTGTGGAACAAAACATCTTCCTCCCATGAAACATGAATCCTATGCCCAAGAAAAGATTTTTGCACCAGAGGGAAGGCTCCGCTACTAGCGGAACAAACACATAGGAGCCAACCCTTTACCTTTTGCGATTCAACCGTCTTAAGTTGTTGGGAAATGATACCGCTGTGCAAAGCAAGACAGGAACCCTTGATATAGGCTGAGAGCTATGAATAGGAAGTCCGTGATTCTCATCTTGCCTGTTGTACTGTTCAAGGGGTATTAGGAAAACTACTAACTTTCAGCCTCTCCCCCTCCCCTTTCCTACCTGATTACAAAGTTAATAGTACTGCAGTGATGTTTAAAGGAATACACAAATAATGTATGTTAATTGCTTTGAATAATCTAAAATACATACGAAATCTAAAATACATACGAAATATCATTTAGAACTATTTTATGAGGGCTAGAAATTTTATTTTCTTCTTTCATTTTTACCCATTATCTTTAAAACTTTTTACCTAAGTGAAATGAATGTTTGTTTTAAACAGGTACTCTTCAGTATATGGCACCAGAAATCATTGATAAAGGACCAAGAGGCTACGGGAAGGCAGCTGATATCTGGTCTTTGGGTTGTACCATTATCGAGATGGCCACAGGAAAACCTCCATTTTATGAACTAGGCGAGCCACAGGCAGCAATGTTCAAGGTTAGATTATATTCACATAGATAAGCATTAAGTTTTTCATCAAAGAAAACAATTTTTTAATTTAATCAAAAAGCTGATCTGGAGAAGATGCATGAGATAATACACTTGGTTAATAGGAAAGTGCGGGCCAAACTAGCTGTTACAGCAGCTACAGAGCCTACCCATGGCCGCCAACGTCATTTTAGAAACAAATTCAGCCATTTAAAAATCCCTTGAGGGTCTGATCCTGATCATTCAGAATCTGAAAAGGCGCAGGGGGAGAAACAAGATCCCATGGTCTTACTGCACCACAAGCTAACCAAAGAGGTTGAAAAAAGAAGAAAAAGTTTTATGTAGAAATATCAAAGTCAATTCCAAAAAAAGATAAAATCAAAGAATCTTGTAATTTTATTAAATACACTGTATGGTGTGTATCATACAAATTTAAACCACTGAGGAAGGCCTCACAGCCAAAACATGTTTAGTGCACATGTTTGATGTTATAAATAACTGTACCTGGGCATAGAAAAGGTGTACATAAATGTGTGACACCCCCTTGTGTACATATTTAATTTTACAAAAATGTTTTCTCTTACTAGAGTAAGGTACTGATACATGTAACTAAAGCTGATGGATTGTTATGCATAGTTTTTAATAATTACCATTTGAGTAAAGATTGTTTGATTTAATAACAATTTTAGCTTTTTGGAATGGACCTTGCTATTTCTACATACAAGGATTTTCTTCTTTTTTAACCTCTTAAGTTACCCAATGTGTTCTGGGTTGAAATTTTTCTCCTGCCACCTTTTTATGTTTGTTCCCACTGTACCACAAACCTGATCAGGATTGGGTTGTTGTGACCAGTGTTCCCTATAAGGTGAGTTAGTGTGAGCTAGCTCACAGTTTTTTAGCCTCCAGCTCACACATTTTTGTCTTAGCTCAGGAAGGATGGCTCCAGAGCAAACTAATTTATGCAGTAGCCAAATCGTTCACTCACAACTTTAATGCCAGTAGCTGACAAAGTTGAGTTTTTTGCTCACAAGACTCCACAGCTTAGAGGGATCATTGGTTGTGACATTTTTAAATAGCTGGATTTGTCTCTAAAATGGTGGTAATAGCCACAAGTAGGTTTGTGGGATGGATGCTCCTGTATTTCTTTGTACATTTTCCTCCATGAGTTAACATAACATTGATTGTTTTTTACTCCATCTATATTAGGTTGGAATGTTCAAAATACACCCAGAAATTCCTGAATCCATGTCAGCAGAGGCAAAAGCTTTCATACTACGCTGCTTTGAGCCAGATCCAGACAAGAGAACTTGTGCCAATGAGCTTCTTGTTGATGAGTTCTTAAAAGTCACAAGCAGAAAAAGAAAGTCCCAATCAAAGCTAACAGGTAAAGACATATTTAGGTCTAGCGGGGAGAACTTAAGATCATTTGAGTAGTGATTAACATAGCCACTAATCACAGCTCTTCAAAGCAAAAATACAACTAAGATCGCATTAGCATACTTAAAATTATAAATAAATGTGTCTTTCAGCTATGAACTTGAAAGTTCAACAAATGCTTTAAAGGCTTCACTATCATTTTAACTTATCTTTTTAAACAAGAGGACATAAGACTTAACTAGCCTGTTTCATTGGTTTCTACAAAGCTGAGACATGAGTCATGACTAATTTTATGCTAATAAGTACTTGTTGATAATATTTTAAAATAATAGAACTTTGTATATGATACTCTGTTTTTATTCTTTAAAAATTGATAAAGTTAGTTTTTGTACTCTTCATAAGTCTTTAAAGTTTTTAACATTTCGTTTTTCCCCTTTTTTCATAGCACTCGCAGTTGGATCAAATGGTGAGGTTAACACTTGGATCTTTCTCATACACATAATGAAATCTGTAAATGTTCTAAGACATCAGGGATTTTATTTTCTTACAAGCCACCACATTGACAAACTGTCAGTGAGGGTCAGAGAAACCAATGGTTTGATTAGGTTTTGGGTTTATTTAGCCTACTCATTTTTAAAATTTACGCTGTTGAATTTGCAATCCTAAACACTGAATGCAGCAGAACTTTTTTTGATATTAGCATATAAAGAATCCAGGTCTAAGAATATTGTCACCACACTTCAAAAAGGAAAAAGTGCAGAAAAGGGCAACGAGAATGATAAAAGGGTTGGAACACTTTCCCTATGAAGAAAGGCTAAAGCACTTGGGGCTCTATAGCTTGGAGAAACGACGGCTGAGGGTGACATGATCGAGGTTTACAAGATTATGCATGGGATAGAGCAGGTAGAGAAAGAAGTACTTTTCTCCCTTTCTTACAATACAAGAATTCATGGGCACTCCATGAAATTGCTGAGCGGTCGGGTTAGAACGGATAAAAGGAAGTACTTCTTCACCCAAAGAGTGATTAACCCATGGAATTCACTGCCACAGGAGGTGGCGGCGCCAGCAAGCATGGACGGCTTCAAGAGGGAATTGGATAAATATATGGAGGAGAGGTCCATCAGTGGCTATTAGCCACAAGGTATAGATAGGAACTCTCAGTCTGGGGCAAGTGATGCTCTGTATTCTTGGTGCTTGGGGGGGCAGCAGTGGGAGGGCTTCTAGTGTCCTGGCCCCAGTGCTGGACCTCCTGATGGCACCTGGTATTTTTGGCCACTGTGTGACAGAGTGTTGGACTGGATGGGCCACTGGCCTGATCCAACATTGGCTTCTCTTATGTTTTTATGTCCTAGGCCATTTGTGAAAATAATTCTTCACAAACTCATTTTTGGGGAACATCTGTGGCACAATTGGTAGAGCATGGGTTTTCCATGCAGGACATTCCGGGCCTGATTCTTGGCAACTCTGGTAGCAGGTGCTGGGAAAAACCTTTCTCTGTATAATAGTTTTGGGAAGGGGAGCCATGTTGTTCTGCAGTAGAAGAGCTAGGTTTGGATCCAGTGGTACATTACAGACAAACAAAATGTTCGGTATATAAGCTCTCAAGAATCAAAGCTTCCCTTCATTGGATCCCCAGCGAATGAAGTTTTGATTCTTGAAAGCTAACACCTTCGAAATCTTGTAGGTCTGTAAGGTGCTACTGGGCTTGAATCAAGGTTCTTTCTCTGTATAAGAGTCTCAGGAGTGAGTCATGGCCAGTATGAGTAGATGACACTGAGCCAGCTGTTTTAAAGTTCTGATAGTTTGCCTTGGGGACCCTAAATAGGGCAGAAAGGTGGTGTGTGTGTGTGTGTGTGTGTGTGTAAATAGATCACATTAAGTGATTCTTATAATTTAGATTTCTGTTTAAGACCTTAACTGCATTAATTTTCTGAGTTTTCCCCTTTGATGAACAGAATATCTTCGAAGCATATCATTGCCCGTTCCTGTTCTGGTAGAAGATACAAGCAGCAGCAGTGAATATGGTTCAGTTTCACCTGACACTGAATTAAAGCTTGACCCATTTTCATTTAAACTGAGAGCCAAGTCCTGTGGAGATAAGGATGCAAAAGGGCTTAGGTCTCTTTTCCTAAGGTAACATTCATATATGTTCGTTTATAAATGAAGAAAGAACTATTTAAACTACGTTTTGTTGTTCTTATTACATTATTTAACATTATATTTTGGAAGTACAGCATCCCAGATGAGAATTTTGAGGATCACAGTGCTCCTCCTTCACCAGAGGAGAAGGATTCTGGCTTCTTCATGCTCAAAAAAGATAGTGAACGGAGGGCCACACTTCACAGAATTTTAACAGAGGATCAAGATAAAGTGGTGAGGAATTTGATGGAAGCCTTAACTCAGGTAAACTAATACAAATGGTTCATTTAACATTGGACTGTATGTATTAAAATAAATGTGTATGTCCTGGAGATTGCTGTGCAAGCACATCATAAATTATACATAAGACTGAGGCAACGTTACACTGATATGTTTTCAGTCAGGAGGTTAGAAAGTATTAAATGTTTGGATTTGGAAGTTTCTTTATAATGGTGGAATGCATATCTAAATATACTTAAATGCAGAAACTTCTGATTTACACATAAGGTAAATTTTGATTCTTAGGAGCAGAAACATTTGTTATAAATATTTTCTGGGGGGGAAATTGTAGTATGTAGAAAAAGGTAAGTAGAAGCATCCCGGCTGTCACTGTCTCCCACCACCCCTGTAAGTTGTCTTGTCGGGGCCAGCAGACTTGCCCAGGGGCTCAGTTCTGGTGGGCCAGCAAGGTGGTTGGCGAAGCTGTGGTGCTCAGGGCATTCTCCTCCCACGGCCCTGCTGCCAGCCGCAGACATCATGCATTATGAGCCCCTCTATACTTACAGGAGCCATAGTTGGCATAGGGAAGGGAACTATTATTTTCTAGTCATGAAAATGCTCCTAGTGGATGATGGATGATAATGGATCTACTTTGAAGTTTGTGAGATTAATTCCATGATCATTGGTAATAGTATCCCATTCTTTTGCTTCCATTTTTGTGGCTTTTTAAAAACTATGCTTCATGATGGCTTCAACAGTCTTCCATAAGTCTGTTCATCAAGCTATAGTCTTTAGATATTTTATATCCATTCTGTCTACAAAGCCTCTTTTGTAGTGCTGACCTTATCTTCACACTCTGCTGCCAATTAAACTTTTCCTGTCCCATACCTGCTACATCATTATGAAACCCTGTCTCCTTCCTTCACCTTTGGCTTGCCCTCCAGTCAAGGGCTACGCAATTTCTGTTTCATGTGCCACCCAGCCATGAGAACATTGGGGGGGGGGGTAACACCCACTCACTAGCCAGCTGCAACATTTGTAACAGGCTTTCCTGTGGAAACCTCATTGAAATGTATAAATGGAAGTTGCACATCAACAAGGCTTAGGCAAAATGTGCTTTTTGCATTTTCATCATTCTTTCCCTCGTGATTATACAGCTGTAATTAGCTAATCTTTATTGTTCTACCAGGGAGCTGAAGAGCCTAAACTGAAATGGGAACACATCACAACTTTAGTTGCCAGCCTAAGAGAATTTGTCAGGTCAACTGATCGCAAGATCATTGCAAGTACACTTTCAAAGCTGAAACTGGAGCTAGACTTTGACAGTCATGGCATCAGCCAGGTTCAGTTGGTACTCTTCGGTTTTCAGGATGCAGTAAGTACACTTTTTTTCCTGCTACATTGCTACCTTCCGTAAATAGTGTTCTGATAAACTTGCCCAATTCACTAACAACAATATTAGAAGCTAGTCGTGATAAAGCCCCATTAGAAACAATGGGACGGGAACCACTTTTAGCCCGGTCAAGACACTGGGCCTTATTTCTAAGTGAACTTGTGACCAGCTTTTGCTAAATTGTGCCCCAAATTGAACAATGTAAAATAAAATAATATTTGAGAGTGGGCAATTACAGTGCCATCCCAAGCAGGTCTACTTAGCCATATTCAAAGGAGTTACTCCCAGTAAAGTATTCTCAGAATTGCAGTCATAGACAATGATGCCACAGGCTTTTTCTGGCAGGAAGATTAAATGGGCTGCATCATGCTTTTACTTACTGAGCCCAAGAAAGCCCAGTCCTGGCTCAGCCTTGAAGCTTACTGCATGACCTGGGGCAATCACTTTCTCTTTGCCTGACTTGCCTCATTTGGTTCACTGTAAGGATGAAGGGAGGGAGGACCATGTAGACTCCCCTGAGATCCATAGAGGAATGGCAGGATAGAAATGGAATAGGCAGTGCACCTAATGGTCTTTTAGCCCTGTAAATGTGGTATGGCATGTTTTATATTAGACTCCTGACTGCAAAAGATAGCCAAGTATCTTAAATCACTGTCAGCCTCAGATTCTTTATGGCACAGACACTATGAATAATAATGTGGTGCATTTGTAAGATCAGAAATTGATTACAAAGTTCAGTCATTCAGATTATTAAAGTATTTGAAAAGATTTTAAATTGCCATGCAAATGATAAAACTGTGGAAAAGTTAAATGAAGTACTTCTGTCCATTAAGGAGGCTACTAACTGAACGTAGCTATGCTCGCACTATATCTGGACTCATCTTCAGTGCAGAGATAAAGGCATCAGGTTGCACATTGGCATCTGGTGCACTGAGCCTGCATAAATCCTCAGGCCATAGGGTGAAGGCAGCTTACCTCTGAAAGGTACTGGGCACCTTTGAAAGACTGAACCTGGTTTAGTTAGGTTTATTCTTATAGCGAACATGGGTACCACTACAGATGTTACGTACGTTCAATTATGAAATGAATATATTAGTAAATTTATGTCCTATATCATCAATACAATTTAATATAAATTATATAATTGTAGGTATACTCTGGAGATAGTAACCCAAAACAATTTTCCTGATGACCAACATTTATTTAGTGGCCCTCTGTCCTTAATGGTTTGTTTTGTTTTCTGAAAATATTTTGATTTTAGAAGTGATGCTATAATAGAAAGTCTAACTTCCTGGTTCTCATTACCGTGTTTCCCCGAAAATAAGACACTGTCTTATATTTATTTTTTCTCAAGAAGACACACTATGGCTTATACCACAAATGCATAGAAATCCTGCTAGGGCTTATTTTTGGGGTAGGTCTTATTTTCGGGAAAACAGGGTATATCCCAAGTCATGTAAACCATTTTTTTAATAAACCATAGTTTGCTTCCAAAGAATAGCAAACAATTGGTTTTAACTGGTTTCCAAGCTCTACTTTGGAGGCAGACTATAGTTTACCATGAGCTAGGAAACCAAAGCTGAGAAAGGAGAAGGAAGAGAGAATATGTGATTCGTTATATTTCTTTCTAATGAAGAATAGATAGATTTACTTTGTACACTTGCTTCAGTATCTCAAAAAGGCACTCATATTGATGGACATTTATTTCAGTGTAGTCAAGTAATCATTATTCTAATCCAGTTAACTAAAGGGTAGATAAATGATCAGCTTATCATCCTAATCTTTTCTACAACATACCACCATAAGGTCAGTTGGTGGTAGAAGGTGCCATCAGGTTGCGACCGACTTACGGTGACCCCGTAGGGTTTCCAAGGCAAGGGAAATCCAGAGCTGGTTTGCCATTGTCTGCCTTTATGCAGCAATCCTGAACTTCCTTGGTATTCTGCCATCTAAGTACTAACCAGTTTGGTGTAGTGGTTAGGAGCACGGACTCTAATCTGAGAGAACTGTGTTTTTTTCTTCACTCCTCCACAAGATCTTTCAGGAGCAGTTCTCGAAAGAGCTCTCTCAGCCCCACCCACCTCGCAGGGTGTCTGTTGTGGGGAGAGGAAGGGAAAGGAGATTGTAAGCCGCTCTGAGACTCTTTTGGGTAGTGAAGGATGGGTTATAAATCCAATCCAGTCTCTTCTAACCAGAGCGAGCCCTGCTTTGCTTCTGAGATCTGATGGGATTGTGCTAGCCTGGGCCATCCTTGTCAGGGAATAAGGTCAGTTACTAAGGATATAAGCTTAAGTGTATCCAATTGTGTCTTCTTTCTAGCTTTTAGAAATATTTAGTTCCTTTCTAATTTCCAAACAATATGGCTCAGTTGGCCTCTGAGGAGCACAGAAGTACACAGAGGAGGGAAAGATACAGTACACACAAACTTAGATTTCTCTTATCTTTTCTAATGTTTTCACCAAAACTGCATTTAAAAATAATGTATTAACTGCAGAGTCTCTTTCCAGGTAAATAAAGTTCTCAGAAATCACAATATCAAGCCACATTGGATGTTTGCTCTGGACAGCATAATTCGCAAAGCAGTGCAGACTGCTATTACAATTCTGGTTCCAGGTAAGACTGGCAATATAAATTACTGGAAGTTAAGGGGGGGAAACCTTAGCACATTATTTTTGTCTTATCAGACACAGGAGAAAATAAAAATGGAAATTGGGAAATAATGAACAAACTGAAGTGTTATTTGGACAGAAACAGTTTTACACAATAGGACTACCAGCATATTTGAATATCATGTTAAACTGTGAAGTATTAATAATGTATTATCATCAAATGCATAGAGTTTTAATTAATGCCAAAATTATTGATATTCAAACAATAAATATAATCTTGAACATGGGTCTCTTAGACAGGAATCAACGTATCTGATTGTCAGCATGGCTAAATCTGTGGACAGACAAAACAGATCTTTTGACAAACCTGAAAAAAATACATTGAGGGATTAAAATCTCCCCAATAATAGAAGCAGTACCTAATTCCCTTTCAGTGGCTGTTGGCTGTGGCTAAGCAACCACAACAGTACTGCTAGTTTTCAAGCCTTGATCTCTGACAGGAAAAGGCAGGTGAAGAGGAGGGCCTTTCCCAAGGCTGTTTTTGCCTTTGAGGAAGAACTCATCAGGGCTAGGTCCACCAGCAATCTCTGGGTAACTTGGTACTACCTGACTTGCATGACTCACCCAAGACTGGCTGCTTGCTACTGTTCAATAGCAGTCACCTCATGAAATCCAGTATACTATGGTGGTTAGAGTTTCAGACTGGGATCTAAGAGACCCATGTTCAAATCCCCACTCTGCCATGGAAGCTCACTGTGGGATCTTGGGCCAGTCACACATGCTCAGCCTAACCTACCTCACATGGTTGTTTTGAGAGGAGAGGAGAATGATATAAGCTGCTTTGGGTCCCCATTGTGGAGAAGGGCAGGGTATAAATTAAGTAAATAAATATAGCTGAAGAGGGGGGGGGATTAAAGGTAGCTTTGCTGGTAGGTTGGAAGGAAAGAAGGGAGCAGGAAAAGAGGAGATAGTATGGGGGGTTTTAGGGAACAGGAAAAGTCTTGGGACGTCTTGGCCAGTATGGTGCTATTATGATGACTTCTGCCTGCAACATTCGGATTCTCCGTAGAAGACGGGGTATTATCGGCAATGGTGGAAAAGCATATAGAAGGCTGTTGGGCCACTGGGCTGTCAGTGCATCCGTGGCTTCTGCTTGGTGATGGAAGTAACAGGTGAAGAATCTTGACAGTTGAGCATTGGTAGGAGTCGCAAACAGGTCTTCCCAGATTGTCTGTTATGAAGCAGAATACTTTCCTGTTGAGAGACCATTCGCTCTCCTGGATAGTTTGACGGCTCAGCCAGTCCGCTTGTACATTCGCAACTCCTTGTACATGTTCTGCTTGGATCGAGGCTAAGTTCGCTTCTGCCCACTTCAGTAACTTGATCGCTTCTCTGTGTAACATCGGGGACTTGGAGCCCCCTTGTTTGTTCACGTAGGCCTTTACATATATGTTGTCTGTGCAAACAAGAAGATGGGTTCCCTTGAGTTGAAGAGCAAAGTACTGAAGAGCAAGTCGAATAGCACGAAGTTCCAACAGGTTGATCGGAAGGGTCTGTTCCATCTTTGACCACTTTCCCTGTACTGGCCGGTTTTGTAGGGTGGCTTCCCACCCTAATAAACTAGCGTCGGTGAACAGCTGAATCCGGTCCTGAATCCAGAAGGATTTCCCTTAGGATAAATTTGATGTGTTGGTCCACCAACGAAGACTCATCTTTACTTGTAGTGGAACCTTCAAGGAAATGTCCATTCTCAGAGCTATGGAAGATTGGAAGGGTCTTAAGAATAATTGAAGTTGCCTTGAATGGAATCTTCCCCATTGAAGGGTGTCGAACGAGGCGACCATTAGTCCCATTACTTTAGTTAGTATGGACAGGGACGAGGTTCTTGCCATGATGATCTGCTTGGCTATTGATTTGATCTTTCGAGCCTTCTGCATGGGTAGATATAGTGAAGTTGTGTTGGTATCTATGATCACTCTGAGGTGATCCAGCCGTTGAGATGGAGTCAAGGAACTTTTGTTCATGTTTACAAGAAAGCCGAACTCCTGTAGGCATTGAAGAGTCTTGCGTGTGTCCTGTATTGACCGTTCTAGTGTCCTTGATCTTATCAATAGGTCATCTAAATAGGGGTGAATGTGGATTCCCCTTTCTCGTAGGGTAACTATGGGATGAACCATTATTTTTGTGAATACCCTGGGAGCTAATGAGAGTCCGAAGGGCAGGGCCCGGAACTGAAAGTGATGATTTCCTAAGCAAAAACGCAGAAATCTCCTGTGTGGGGGGAAAGATTGGGATGTGCATGTATGCCTCTGTCAAGTCTAGGGATACAAGAAATTCCCCTGGTTGAAGTGACTCTGCAATTGATCTTAGAGTTTCCATGCAGAAATGCTTGGGAATGACAAATTTGTTTACAAACTTCAGGTCTAAGATTGCTCTCCTGTCTTTTTGGGGACTGTAAAAAAGGTTGAATAGATGCCCTGTCCCTGTTGTTCTAATGGCAGCGGTTCTATTGCTTTGATGTCTAAGAGGTGAGTCACCGCTGACCAGGTCCTGAGTCTTTTTGTATCATTCTTGGTAATGGGAGATAGGATAAATCTTTGAGGGGGGATTTTGAGAAATTCTATCTTGTATCCTTCGGTTACTACGCCCAAAGTCCAAGGGTCTGGTCGGGATTCGACCCACCTCTTTCCGAAGTCTTTCCCCTACTGGTGTCTGTAGATAGTCATGCTCACGCAGGTTTGGGGTTCTTGTCCCCTTTGTCTTGTCTGAAGAAGTTTGGTCTCAGGAATCTATTGTTGTTGTTGTTTGCGCCTCTACGAAAGGATTGTCTGTTGTTGAAGCTATTGTTGCCCCATGACATTCTTCTGGTGTCCTGGCGAAATCTTGGAAGCGTATGTTGCGTACGAAAGGAGGAGGATGTAGAAGCCTTGTCTCCCAATCTCACAAATTTGGGAAGTGCTTTCTTTTTGTCTCGAGTCTCTACCAGTATTTTCTCTAGGGGTTCACCAAAAAGTTTATCTCCCTGAAATGGATAAGCTATGACTATTGCTTTGGATTGATAATCTGCCGGCCATGACCTAAGCCAAACTAGACGATGGACTATGCAGATGCCATATGCAGATGCCATAGCCTTGGAGGAGAAAACCATAGAGTCTGGCATCAGCTGTGTAAGAAATGGCTTTTAAGATTCTGGTGGCTTCTTCCATCAGCCTTGGGTCGTTCTCCAGGAGCATCTGTATGAGCTTCCTCATCCATACTATGGCAGCTCTTGACACTGTAGAGGCCGCAGCTGAGGACTTAATTGCCATGGAATTGGACTCATGCGTCTTCCTGAGGGCAAACTCAGCACGTTTGTCTAGATTATTTCGCAGGTTGCCGTGTCCATCTTCTGAAACTAGCCCTGTAGACTGTAAGGCTGTCACTGGAGCATCAACCGTCGGTACCTGCAAAATACTAGAAGCCAGAGAAGTAGTGGGGTAAAGTCTTCTTACAAAGGCTGGGAATGGTTTGTTAGACATGGGTCGTTGCCATTCCGCTTTAATTTTTCTGACATATTAGAGCATAAATCATTGTTTTAAAAACTATTTCACTCATTCAAAAATAAAATATTTAAAATATTATTTTCACTGTTCCTCTAAATGTGTCCATTTCTCCAAAGTTGGGAAAAAAACTTGGGGGGGGGCGTCCTTTTTTCCTTGAAATTTTATGCCCCCCCCCCAACCAGGCTTTCAGACCTTAAGGTGAGATGTTGCTTATTTGCTTAAATATTGGCTTTCTCTTTAGCTTTGATTCCAAGCATCTTTAATATAGAAATAAGTTCTTCTATAAAATAATCGTGTACACATCTCAGTGGGAGTGTCATTGTATATATCATTCATAAAATTGTAATGTTAGAAGTAGATGAGTGTCTTTTTTCACATGACATGTATGTTACAGCAGTGAGCTATGGCCATTAGCCCTTCATAGACATAGATTTGTTTTTTAATGGCCAGCTGTCTCAAACATTTCTGATTTAGTACATATACACTGTGTGGGTCTATAATATATAGCAACCATAAAATGTGCTTGAAAGGGAGTATACGTCTAGTGGTGATGGTATGGGACAATACCCACTGAACTGTAAGTATCCTAAAGCTGTAAGCCTCATTTAAACTCTTTAAACTTGCACTCTTCTGTTTCTTTACATATTTTACAAGCTTAGTATTACCTGTAAAATGTTTATCATATTTATTTACAATAAACCTTTACACTGCTTTTCAGTCCAAAAAGATTCACAGGGTGGTTTACAGTCCAAGCGAGTATTAACTAGGGTTGCCAAGTCGAATCTCCTTACCGGCGGGGGGAGCGTCACCAGGCTCAAGAAACTCTCCTCTGACGCGCCCCTAGAGTAGAATGACGGTCCCTAGCAATAGAATCTGTGTTCTGGGACTGGAATGACAGGGCACAGAATGGAATGACAGCCCCTGGGAGTAGAGGCAGCATTCTGGGAATGGAATTCCACTCTGGGGGCCCTCATTCCAATCCCAGAATGGTTCTGCTACTCCCAGGGACTGTCATTTCACTCTGGTGGCTGTCATTCCAGTCCCAGAGTAGACCCAAAGACCTTAATGGGAAATCTATTCCACATTTTCTTTGCAACTTTGTCTGTGCTGCAATGGAGTGGAGCTCAAAAAGTTTCACATTCCAGTGTTTGCATAGTTGAAACTGATGCTTGATGGAGTTGTCTCCTTGCAAATACAGGGTTGATGTTTTGAGCCAATTTGTCTCTGCTGAATTGACCTGAGAATGGGTGCCTGAGTGAATAACTAACCTGGGTACCCACAGCCAAAGGGGGCCATTACACTGGAGAGGCACTGCCACTGAGTAGACCTGGGGGAGAGGGGAGAGGTTTACAATGCCCAGCCATTTTATGTTCCTAGGCTTTGAGCATTTTATATTTTGGGTTTCTGCTGTGTTCCTTGTGTTTTTTCTTAATTTTTTTAAATTGCATTGCCAAATCCCACTATTCCCCCACCTTTCCATTTTAAACAGTCATCTTTTGGGGGGTGGGAGGTGTCAGTTATCACAGACTGTTAAATAAACAAAATATCGCAAGAGTTTTAAGCATTTTGTATTTTAAGCATTTGTATTTTAAGTAAAAAAAATCTTTAATTGTGTTTGTATCTTTTATAAAGTTTATATCTCTGCTAAATGGCATTACATTTTATGACACGCATGGCCTGGCCCCCAAAAGTCCCATTTATGTCAGATCCAGCCCTTGTAACAAATGAGTTTGACACCCCTGCTCTAACTACAATCACCTAAAAACAATGGTAGCAATTATCTAAAAATCTCTTGGTTGATCTAAAAACAGCTCAGTGATTAAATGTCAGCTCTTGATATTAGCATAACTAAGTTCTAATATTTAAAAGAAAATCTTTATATGCTTCTGAAAGGAGCTAATTGTAGAAGAAAGGCGGGCCCTGGAGGAAACTTATTTCTCAGTGTACTGGTAAGCAATGAAAAGTTCCTGCCCTTTTTGAATGCTAGATTTGCACCCACATGAAGCAGCATTCTGAGTGGTACCACATGGGCATATGTCAAAGAGCAAGACTGATCTCCAGGAACAGAAATCCCTAGAAATAACATAGACCCACACCATTTAGGACATAAAAAATAAAAACAAGGCCCTTAAATTGTGTCTGGGAACATATACGTAGCCATTATATTGTTGAAACACCAATGCTCACCCCCCAACAAATGCTGGGTAGCAGCATTTTGGAGTTATTGCAATTTTGGAGAGTCTTTAAGAGCAACCCCATGTATTATAGTAATCTACTCTAGAAGTCATCAAGGCACAGATTTGTTTTTCAATATCTTTCTGAAAAATTATGAGGATAATGTTGTGCTGCACATTTCCCAGGTTGCTTAGTAAATGCTGTGGCCAGTCCATTTAAAAAATAGCTTTCATTGTGACATATAACCCCAAGATAAAATGATCAAAACCTGTTCATCATTCAGCCCTTTGAGTGCTTTTTTGAAAGCAACATGTCCCTTTTAACAAATGCTACAAAATGTAGAAGAATGAAAAAACGGTAGGTCTCATGCAGCTTTGTCTCGATGGATTTATTGTGTGAAGAACGTAACTGAGGTCAGATGCCTGAAAAAAGTATAAGCCCCTGAAGCTAGGAGGAAAAGATGAAAGCATTTGCTGTATGAAAAAGTGCTCTAGTTTAGTGACCAGGAAAGAGCTTTAGAGATTATTTTTGAAAAATCCCTAAAGCTTTCCATTCTGTGTGCAGCCACACTGAGCATTTAACAAGACACAAGACCGTGTTGCCTGTTAGATGTACTGCAAACACTAGTCAGGCTCTGAACTAGTTATATTAGGTGCTGAATCTATGGTCTCTCTGTACAGTGTGTAATTCAAAGGGGTTTATTTGTAAACAAGCACAAAACTACAGCTGTCATTAGCATAACATTGCCAAACCTGTTTCATGTAAAGAGCATTTACATTTCAAAATTAGTCTTCAGAATTTTAGTTTCAACTGTGTTTGTTTCTTTGTTTTATCTTACTTCCCTGTAGCCTTTGGCCTAATTATTCAAAATCAGGGCCCTCCTCAGATGATCTAGGCAGAAAAACTAGATCCATGGGGAAACTTTTGATAGGCAGAAGGAAGCTGAACAAACATAAGCATACAATCAGCCGGCTGGGGAAGAGGCACAGCTCAATAGTAAATAAGATTTGCATTAAAGTTCTAACCTCAGATCGCTAGTTAAAAAGAACAGAGGCATTTGAGAAACACCTCTATCAGAGACCCTAAAAAGGTGAAGTCTGCAAGTTCTGGAGCACATAGACTAACCTGTAATACTTTGGCTTTCCGAAGCAGCTGGGGAAGTGTTCTTTCTTACATTCACCTTCCCTAGCTGCCAGAGCACTAAGGTGTTGCTATTTATCAATCCAGTTATGATTATTTCTGCTGCAAGTAGCTACTCATCAGCTTAGCACACCTACTAGTGTGATATAGGTTCAGCCTTATTTCTTCTTGGCATGTGGCTAGCAAAAGTTGTGAGCTATAAACATTGTTACGCCAACTGCTTTATTTACAGCAGAGGCTAACTAAATTTTTAGCGTGAGTCCTGGCCAGCTATACCAAGGTCGTGTTTGAACCCAGAGTTCCAGTAATAGAGACCACACGGGTGTTTTTCCAAAACAAATAATCTTTTTACTGAAGGATATCAAAGTCACACATACAAAAACATCAGTCTCACAATTCGCATACACTCAAGGTTCCTTTAGAGTTACAGAAATAGAAATAAAGTAGTTTAGTAACTTAGGAGGTAGGTAGGTAGCTATTTCGGTTCATACTTGCCTGTTTCAGAAGTCCTGTCTGTTGCAATGAAGAATAAAGGGACAGAAAACCTTGTCTAGAAGTTTTACCTACATCACACTGTTCCAGAACCAGCTGGTCAAGTGTGTGTACGTGCGTGTAAGTGGATCTCTTTGGCTGCGTATCCCAAAGAGATCCAGTAAAGACAAAGAGTTTTAAAGCAGGAAAGAGGGGGGGTAGTAGAATGTGGCTAGCCAGAAGACTTGCAGCATGGTCTTTTCGTTGATGGTAAAATGTGGCTAGCCCAACCCCTAAAGCATGGTCCTTGCGTTTTATAGTTGAAACTCCAGGTGGGTGGCACCTTGCCAATCTGTAATCCTACCTACTTACAAGTCCATCCCATAAATTCCCTGATTGGTGCATGTAGAAAAGCGGCAGGTATTCTATGGGTTGGGCGATATTTGAAATACTACACTCTATCTCATGGAATGCCATCTGGCCAGGTGTGAAATGTCGGCTTCCTGCATCCCCTTTGAAGTACAGATGAATCTTGGCTTTCCCAGGCATTCAAGGTACCATCAACAGAAAACAGCAATTCAAATGTAGATCAGGTCCGTGTTCTGCGTGACATCTCATCTCCTCAGCAATGGGGGAATCTCTTCTTCTTAGTTGTTGTTCTGCTCACAATGGCTAACATGTGCTTCTTCTTCCCACAATGCCTTGCGCTGAATGGGTGCAAGCTACATTAACATAAAATGCAGGCAAGTGTTCCCTATGTGAAGTCTCTCACAGTAGGTGATGCAAACAGCTTTCTTTGGCTCAAGGTATACAGATGTGTGCACAGTCCATGTGTTGCGTGTGTAGCAGATATAAAACCATAAATTAGTTCATTTCCCAACAACATTCTGTCCCATTTTTCTCCTATAATCAGCACCATTTCACATCATGGATTTGTCTTTTTCCTAATATAATCAGTCCTGCAGTGTTATCCTCTCTTCTCTCAGGGATTTTATCTTGGTGCCATTTGGGGGATGGGTGCAACCCATCATCTTCAGATGTCCAGAAAGATAGCAGCTTTAAAGGTTACAGATTCATAATGCTTGTCTCTCATTTAATTGCTATAATTAACAACACTTTTTTTTCATAACAGAACTGAGGACACACTTCAGTCTGGCATCAGAGAGTGATACAGCAGATCAGGATGACATTGAAGGTGAAGAACATGACGGGCAGCCTCCAAGCCAGACAATTCAGCAACCTTGCCTTGTTTTAGATGATGGTAACGTCGCTACCTCGGGTGTGAGCACCCTCAGCTCTACAGTATCCCATGAATCCCAGGCTGCCCAGAGATCCCTCAATGTTCAACTTGGACGACTAAAATTGGAAACTAATAGGTAATTCTTAACATCTGGAGACCTAGTGAATTTCCTTCATATTTAAAGTGCAACAACAATATTATGAATTATATTCATATCTAACTTATAAATAGTAATTTGCAATGCAGAATCAGTTGTCTGAAAGGCCAGATCAATGTCAGATCAAATGCAATGTCATATAAATTGCATCACATGATTGCATAGCATAACAGTGGCATCCCAGTCTGATTCAGAGCCATCAGTGTCCATTCTTCTTCCCAAACAGATCATCACCAGGACCATAGTGATGCGGTTACCCAAAATAGACAATCTCCACTTAGTTTGGGGGAATTAGCTTGGAGACAGAGTGAGAGGCGGGTAACTGGGATCTCTACCTATGTATATGGGGATTCGTCCCTATGAGAACTCTTGGAAATAACCAGGCTGTTATTTATGGGAAAGGTTTTTATTGGAACAAATTTGGGGGGGGGGGAGACAGAAAACAAGAGTGCACATGGCAAACACATACAAGAGCTAACCTGGAAGATCAGGGAGGAAAAGGGGAAAGTGTTGTAGGGATGCATGATAATTACTGGTCTTGAAGAGGTCCACAGAAGCAGCAAGTCAAAGAGGAAATGGCCAGTGTTTGGGGAAGCGAGAGAGAGGACCCAAGAACATACACACACACTGTTGGAGCAGCAGGTTGACATATTTATAGGGAAAACATATCCTGAGGCAGGTTGACTCACTGCTAGAGGACAGTGAACTGATTGTTCTACTGGAGGTAGACAAAGAGGTGGGGGAGGCTTGATGGCCCTACAAGCACCAGGCAGGAAAGATGATGGGCAAGGTGAATAGACTTAAGCATTGCTTGAGTGGGGCTTAATCAACGATAATGGTTGAAGGGGAAGCTGGCCTTGGGTGTTGATGAGATTATTCCTGAGTGTATCAATAGATCTTGGGTGACCTATTGTTCTGAGCTGTGCATGTCTCCAAGGTGAGGAAGAGGAAGTAGCCAGCCAGTCTCTCACACCTTTAAACTGCTTTCCCAGGCCGCTGCCTAACTGGCATCCATTTTGGCCCAAGCAGTGCCCCACATTTACAGTTTCAGGGCAATGTACAGAGGGGTGCTTTTGCCTTAAACTGCCCCTCAGCAGGAGAAGGGGTCCAACTGCTAACAGTGCAGCCTGTGATTCTGCATCAATATTTGTGTCCCCAGTGCTGCATTAGCGAGGGATGCATTTATAATCCTACCAGCACTTGTTTACTCTTTAGCTAGGAGTATGCACACACAGGCTTGCATCATGCATGTCCTACTTCTTGCTAAGTCAGGGCAAGGATGTCAAGTTTTCCAAACTTTTTTAGTTGCCTTGATAAAATGGGTTGCTAAATTCCTGCCACAATTCATGATTAAATAACACATTTTTTGTAAAAGCATCAATCATTTATCTTTTTCATTTTCAAACTACTGAATCTCTAGATAGCAGTTACCTAGAAAACATTGCTTTTGTTCCTTTTAACTTCAGTGACAGAAGAATCAGTCCAAGGAGCTAAACAAGTCTAAATATGTCAGTATATAAAATAGTGGGATCTTGAGAATATTAAATCAAGAATTTAGCAATTCTTGATTGATAAACCTTAGTCATATAAAAATGAATAGATGCAGAATTCTACCTGTCTGGACTCTGGATAGTATTGTAGGAATTGGTGCTTGCTTCTTTTTTACTTAGAACTAATACATTTAATGACACCAACCCACCTTGCAGCATTACATATAGATAAACACACAAATGCCAGCAATTATTTTTGTCTGCCTTTAGCACTAACTGAAACAAATGTGTTCCTCATAAGACAGACGGCTTAATAAACAAAGATAAATATACCTGATGATAAGCAAAAGTAAAATGAAAGGGGAAGAGGGTCTTGCATATAGATCTGTGATAACATGTCACCCATATTACAATTGTCACAATACAGTAAGAAGCTGCTGATCTGCTGCCAGCATGACCTTAGTTTGACATAATTGACAGCTGACTTGAGGTCATTTGTAGTAAGTCTGCTCTTGGTATTGCCTGATATCTGACCCATTATTTCAAAGTGGGAATAGATCATTCATGTTTATTATCAAATAGTTTACACAGTTGTATACTCAAAAATATTGACTGGATAACCAGCTAAATTCAGCCTCTTGGCAGACTTTGAAGCAAAACCATCTTACTTCCAATTTTATTTTTGTTGTTGTTGTTCAGTCGCACAGTCGAGTTCGACTTTTCACGACCCCATGGACCAGCTCCCGCCAGGCCCTCCTGTCTTCCGCCGTCCTCTGAAGTTACATTGATTAAAAGGGGATCTGCAGTAAACACAGGCCAAAACCCCATTCCCAGCCTAACTGCAGTGTGGCAATCAGTGGGGTGCAGGAGAGTCACGGGGACTCCTCTCTTTGTGCATCCCTGATCTTACAGGCAAGGCCACCCTGGCTCCGAGCCCTGAGTCATCATGTGGTTACAGCTCATGTTTCTTCTTGCCAAACCTTCTTTAGTGCTCGAGGGAGGCATGTCACATCCTGTCCCACTATCTGTGAGGCCTATGGGGCAAAGCTAATGGCATCTCCCAAGTGGTTCCTGTCCCAGGTCCATGAAGACACCGAGGCCCCAGGCTTCTGGTCAGAGGATTACCCTTTAATCCTCCAAAGTGATGCCTCAGGGGGCTCACTAGGCTATACCATGTACCATTCAAGCAACACTTTCGCAACCTGTTACCACTGTAGAGGGCCCACCCCCCCACACACACACACCCCCACACACACCATTTACCTTTTGGGCAGGTCAAGAGGCCCTGCTGCAAATCCCCCAAGAAGATGTTAATCCCTTATCTGAGAGAGGGACTCTGTTGCTTACTCTGAGGCAAACCCATCCCACTTCCTTTTTTATCCCACTTCAAGCTTTGTCTCAGCTTGTCATTACCAGTTGATTGATTGACTAGGCTTTTAGCCCACCTTCCCCCTCAAGCAGGCTCAGGGCAGGTTACAACAGCTATAGATACACAATTCAATATATAAAATAACAATTATAAAATCCAATTACAGTAGGCAGTTAAAATCAACAGTAACAAACAATGGCACCATTTGACTCAGCCAACTCAGTTAGTTATAAACGCTGTTGTCTAGCTAGACAGTTGAGTATTGCTACTTAATTATGGTTGCTAATTCTTAGTTTAAATCATTGGAGAGGCTAGAGAGTGTTCTTACCTGACTTGATTTTTTATTCAATGTGATTTCATTAGAATTTCCTGGAGCAGTAACAGAATAGAAACTACACAGTAAATATATTTACTTGGAAGTAAGTTTTGTAGGTTTCAGTGGAACTTCAGAAATGGGCATATAGCTGTCGCTTGTGTTTTCAGAGTGCAGAAAGTCTGTGCTTTGTAGTTTTGTTTGTCGCTGACAGTGTGCAAACATATTAAAATCACTTTTGGGAATTGCTAATGTTGTACCATGGTTTGTAGTTTTTTACTGATGTTAATAGGCACTTGGCAAACACACAGTGAAGTTTAATTCTCCCCTTTTCTCTCTGTCTTTCAAACAGACTACTAGAAGAGCTAGTGCATAAGGAAAGAGAATTTCAAACCTTGTTGCATCAAGCAATAGAAGAAAAGGAACATGAAATCAAAAACCTGAAGCTTAGGACTCAGCCAATAGGTGCTCTACTAGAATCTTCAAAAACAATGGTTCCACAAAAGCAGAAAATTATTTCAAAATAACGCTGGTACACTTGGAGCCTTTCCAGGCACTCCTCCCCCTCCCTTTCCCCCCCTTTTCAGTCACTTTGTCTGCAGGCTTAAAAGTGCTTTTATCGCATTCGCTAACCAGTAGTAAGTCTGTTGAAACAAGAGTATTGTATGCCCATAGCACACCTATTATTTCAGGTACTGTTACAGCTGCAGTAAAACAAGTGTTCTCCAAATTCAAATCTCATTCTGAACCAGGATTTATCTATCCCTAGAAAATAGCAGAAATATTTACGATTTTTCTGTTTTCTTTTAAATAATCCCAGTTTTAAGAATATAAGAGTCATGCTGGCTCAGACCAAAGGCCCATCAAGTCCAGCATTCTGTTCACACAGTGGCAGACCTTCTGCCTCTGGGAAGCCCACGGGCAGAATGACTGCAACAGCAGCCTCCCACCCACCCATGCTTAGATAAAGTGGTACTGGTGGGAGTAGATATCATGACTAGTAGCCATTGAAAGCCCCATCCTCCATGAATTTGTCCATTCCCATTCTAAAGCCTTCAAAGTTGGCAGCCATCACTACATTCTGTGGCGGCAGGTTCCACAGTGTAACTATGTGCTGTGTGAAGAAGCACTTTCTTTGCATGTCCTGAATCTCCCACCCTTCAACTTGTGGATGACCTGATTCTAGTATTATGAGAGAGGGATAAAATCCTCTCATCATCCACTCTGTCTGCACTATGCATAATTTTAGAGACCTCTGTCGTGTCACACCTTACTTGCCTATTTTCTAGGCTAAACAGCCCTAAGTGTTTATTATTCTTTATGCATGGATTTGTATTGACATCTCAAATCATTTTTTTCCAAAAGAAAAATATGAGATCATAATATGATTACCTCTTTTAAAAGTTTTGACATCTCAAATCATTTTTTCCCCAAAAGAAAAATATGAGATCATAATATGAGTTTGGCAGAATCAGATCCATCTAGTCCAGCACCTGTTTTCAATAGTGGCCAGGCAGATGCCATGAGGGAACCCAGAAGGAGGGCATAAAGCCCTCCCACGTTGTGTCCCGAGCATTTGACACTCAACAAAGAAGGCCATGGGCCTTATAATCTTGCTTTTGGTCGCCTAGTAGCATCTGGCTGATCACTACTGGGAATAGAAAGCCTGGGTACATGGATTTTCGCTTCATCCAGTGTCAGAATCCTTAAGACCTCATGAATCAATTCATGCAACAAACCTCTTAACAAGCAGTAACCTATAATTAATTCACAAAACTTGAGCTCGCACTCCCTTACACATGTAAACTGATATATAACTTTTTCATGGCTAGCTGAATCCATTTCTCTTGTTTTTAACTTGCAGTTTTTATAACCATTCACACTAAATTGTAAAATAGTACATAATAATAAAGTGCAGAAGTCGCAGCTGACTTATGGCAGCCCACCAAAGGGTTTTCAAGGTAAGAGATGGGCAGAGGTGGTTTTTCCATTGCCTTCCATGCAGAGGTAGCAACCCTGGTTTTCCTTGGTGGTCTCCCATCCAAGTGCTAACCAAGGTCAACCTTGCTTAGCTTCTAAAATTAGATGAGATCAGGCTAGTCTTGCCTATTCTGGCTGCTAAAATAATACCTAGCTAATTGTATTTTATTTACAGAATGACCATGAATAAAAATGTTTCTTCTAAGGGAGCTCCGTTGAACGTGCTGGCTAAGTAAAAGCTGCAACCCTGCCTATCTTTTCATCCCTTCTCAGTTTACAATTTGCAAAAGCTTAGCCTTAACAGTCATCATACTTATCCATCACTTGACCCTTCCATTTATAATTACAAGGCACATGATGTGAAATTTTGTATCTAAGAGCCTGGGTGAATGCTGGGAAGTTTAATGAAAATGGCATGGTTCTGTGTAATCATAGAAAGAAACTGATTTATTTATCTCAATAAAATTGTTTTAGATATCCCTGGCTGGTCTGTCGCAAACCTTAACACCACTAGCAGAAGGGCTGAAGATCCTGATCTCACTAATTGGCTGCAAGTTCATGGTGCTGATGGAGAAACGATAAACAGGGTAGGAAAGATATTTTGTTAGGTATGTTTGATTTGTGATCTTCGCAGATCCGAAGGCTCAGTGCCCAAACAGGAAAAACCTTTCACTGTTGTTTTAGCCACAGTTGTGAAGGGATAAAGATGATGTGGGAAGAAAGTACAGAAGGTGTAGAAAGGGTTACTATTCTTCCAGGATATAAATAAATATTCCAATAAAATATGTCAAAAGACATTGTGGTTATGAAGCCATGTGGGACACCTAGCTCATGACTGTCTACTTTGACTGGCAGTAGTTGTCCTTTACTTGGAGATGCCAGAGAATGAACCTGGAACTTCCTGCATGCAAACTGTGCTCTTCCATTGAACTTTAAGGCTTCCTTCAGAGACGTTTTACATATCAAGTGTCTTATGCTCAAATGTCAAGAACTTCAAAAACAGTGAACTCAAAATAATTTTTTCAGACACATTAGTGCACTTGTAACTGTGACCTATGAAATCTTAAACAACCCCTTCTGTCTCAGCTGTATTGAAATCTTTGGAGCTAAGCATCCTACATCTAAAGTGTGAAAACATTTATATACTAGGGTCAGTTCCTGGATTGCATCCAGACTAAATTTTCCAACAGTTGAACAGAACTTGCCTGCTTCCCACCTCCCACTGCAATCCCATAAAATGAGGAATGGGGGGGGGGGTTCCCTGTAGTGGAAAGGGGGAACGCATGGAAAATGTGCCAGTTTAACCTGGATCTAACTGCTTGCGTTGCTGTACTTTGGCTTGGACAGTATGCATTGCCTCAGTTATTTTTTGCAGTCTGAGGACTCTAGTTCCTGGTTATTAGTAGGGCTATTTTTGGGCAGGAACGCACAGGAATGGAGTTCCAGCTGGCTTCAGAGTTGGCCTCGCCCACTACAGCCAAAACCTCTGTGTGCGTGGCTACAGAGAAAAGGCCTGGAGAGTGACCCCCCCCCAGTGACTCCGAGGCAGGTGGGCCGGGGGGGGGCCTGGAAGGATCGGGGAGGCATTTAAATGCCTCCCTGTGTCTTCCCCGACCTGTCCAAGGGCTGGCTTGCCCAGGCTCCCCACAGCTGTGGGGCACCCAGGCAAGCCAAGGGAAGGCAGTTTAAACAGCCTCCCCTCTCCTCCAAGGGCTGGCTTGCCCGGGTTCCCAGCAGCCGCAGGGTGCCCGGGCAAGCCAAGGGAACGTACGGGGATGTGGCCTGATATGCTAATGAGCTGCACTGTCAGGGGCGTGGCCTGATATGCTAATATGTTCCTGCTGTTGGGTGTGGCCTATTATGCTAATGAGTTCCTGCTGGGCTTTTTCTACGAAAAAAAAAGCCCTGGTTATTACTATACAAAAATGTCTGACTGACAGTGGAAGAAGACTTGAATGAGTATTACTGACAAGTTCAAAAATCAAATATATAATTGGCGGATCTGCTTCCAATGTGGCGTGGCAACGGGCAATTTTACGGGAGGCTCCCGAGCCACCCGATCCTCTTTTCGTTCTTTTTGAAGCTCCCCGGTCTTTTCAGTCCGGGGGGAGCTTTGTCTGCTCTCTTGGAGGGAGATCAGATAGCAAAGGCTTGTTTTTGGCCACCCACACACACAGCAAGTGTGTGGGAGAGGCCGTTTCTGCCTCAAGGCAGGAGCGATCGACAGAGCAAAAACATGGTCGCCATGTTTTTGCATAGCTGCAGCCAGCCATTTTAAAAAACCAGCTATTTTTCTAACATGACAAGAATTATAACAAGAATGAAGAAGATAGGATTTATATGAAGACCAAGTGCATTTCAACCATAACAAGGCAATTAACTGTGTTAAAATACCCCTTTTAAATACTTTTTCCCCCCTTCTCCTAAAATTTGGAAAGCGGCCGGAGTGAGAAAGGAGAATGAAGTCTGTGTGAGTGATTTATGGGGGTAAGAAGATAACACTACTCATTTAAACTGAACTTAAAAATGCCGTCTGCAGGATATTTGTACTATGGCCAAGGCTTTCTTCTGCATAATTGTCTGGAGTTACAGTGGCTAATTTAAAAGAAGTAAGAAAAATGAGTAATGAAATAAATGGCAAGGATATGGAGGAAGGACAGGACTTAGAAAATTTGAAGATTGGGCAATTTACTGTGGAGCAATTTAAAAAGCTATTGCTAGATGAATTTTGAAGCTCATTTAAGGAGGCTTGTAAGAGTTTATTGGAGAAACCTCAGAACTTACTTGTGGATTGTGATGGGGAAAAAGAGGGGAATCAATCACAGCCCCAGCAGTATACTGTGGAAGACGAGACCAGAAGGCAAAGTACCACTGTGCAGGAAACATTGGCTCCGCGTAAGATAGGGGTTTTTTTACATACATAAACTAGAAATATTTTCTCTACAGCAACACAGCCAAGCATGAAAAAAGAATAACATCAGACATTACATTATTCTCATACTCAAACAATAAAACAATTCTCCTCTGAGTACCCACTTTTAGATTTAGTTGCTTAATATCCCAAACTATACTCATTTGTTCATAATGATTTTATAAGCTATTCAAACTTATTCAACCAATTAATCATTATTTAAAGTCACCAATACTCTCACAAGGCAAGATTCAAACAGTTCCTACTTCCTTACGACATTATTCTATAAATTTCTTGATACAATATATGTTATTTATTTTTTATTTTATTTTTTTTACCATTTTAAATTTCCAGTATCAACTTCCCATAGTATTATGATCTTTGAGCTATAATTCTCACAATTTAGTCTATAATACCTTAATTCAAACTTCTTCCCCACGAACTATTTATCATTTTTCTACTAAACAGATCTATTAATTAAACCAGCTTCATCCAATGAATACATATCTAACCTTCAATTAAGCACTAATACTCCTCGGTTGAATCCCAAACATATTATCCAATAAATAATCGTGTTTTGTTTTGTTTTTTAATTCTTTTAGAATTATGCTTTTAAAAAAGACATTTTGTTCCTTTATATTAACTATTTTAGAAATCTTTTACTTCAGTTAGGGTCATTTTTTCCAGCAAGACATATATAAGGAAATCAATCATTTCATCCTCTTCATATACCTTAATTTTCCTCCTATACATAAGTAGCCTGCTTAGTTGTAGCAACATGTCTACATGTCTTCTTTCTCTGTGTATATGGTAATTTAATTCTAACCGCCCCCCTCTAACTTTCAGTAACTCCAACTCCAGTAATTTATGGTCCATTTTAAACTTCCATGCATGTCGTATCATTCTCTTTTTCTTCCAACTCTTTTCTCTTTTGAAAGGATGTCTTTGTACATTTCTTTCCACTATCACTCTATTTATATAAGCTGATTTCATTAGCTTTTTTCCAGTTATTTTACTTGGAGAGGTTTGGATCTCAACGTCCTTCTTCTCTTGATAAAAGTCTAGGTTCTCCACCACATTCTGAGGACGCTCAGTCTTTTGGAAGCATGCCAGATTTTCCAAAACACCTTGAGTAGGCTGACTCTAATCCTTCTCTTTCTCTGTTTCTAATTGTGGGTCATGCATTTTTTACAAGAGATTTGTACAGGCTTCCTCAATGCCCTTCTGTATTCCTTTTCTTAACACTCTCAAAAATTGTTCAATAGTCATCTCACCCACTTCCATATCCTCGTCAATTTCTTCCTCCCCTCATGTTATCATTGCCATTTTAATTACACCTTAGGAGGTATTTTATTCAAATTCTAGGAGCTGTAAAATTTAACTGACATTCTTTCTTCCCTTGTCTATTATAAATCCTTGCCGAAGTGAGGAGATAAAGTGTCCCCGCAAGAACCGAAACACAAAAGCAGTAAGTCTACGCCCATAAATCCTCCGGCCGCTATTTCTCTCCATTTTGGGCCGTTATTTTTGGGGTCATATCTTCTCTAGTTTAGGCTTAAAAATATGCGTACTCACGGATTCGTCAACTTTTTCTTCTATGTTGCTGTAGTTATTTGTACTCCAAAGTGATTTAAAACGGAAGGCTTCCACTACATACAGGCATGAAAATCATGCTGTATTCCATCCGTCGCTCCTGCTTCGGGGTGGTTAAGACCACACACCCACATTGCCGATTGCAAGAGGCCCCCAAAAACAAAGCCCTCTGCACCGGTCCTCTCTACGGGAGTACCGGCAGAGCCCATCCCAAACCGGAGGGCTCCAAAGAGAACGAAGGAGAATTGGGCAGCTCAAGAGAACCCCGAACGCCGTCCGTCGCAGCGCCATACCGGAACCAGATCTGCGTAAGATAGGATTTGAGAAACTCAGTGTACAAATGCCATACTTAGAAGAACCTTTGGATGAATGTCGAAACACGTTTAATGAAGCTCGTAAGAGTTTTCTGGAGAAACCTCAGAACTCACTTTTGGTTTGTGATGGGGGAAAAAGGGGGAATTATTCACAGTCCCAGCAGTGTATTGTGGAAGATCAGACCAGAGGGCAAGGTAACACTGTGCAGGAAACACTGACTTTATGCAAGATGGGACTTGAGAAAGTTAGTGTCCAAAAGCCGTACTCAGAAGAACTTCAGGGAAACTTTGCGATGTTGGAGGTGAAGAAAAAAAATGTTTGGGAATGTTTACCCAACAAAAAGACTAAACTTTTTAAAGCAAAATTAAAGCCCTGTATAAGGAAACTTGAGAAGCGTGGAAGAAATAATAAAAGGTCAAAGAATACGGGACAGAAATCTTTCTTTGCCTGAAATGTTGAAGGAAACGAATGGAAAGGGAAGCTCATGTATTTAAAGAGAGAAGGCATTTATGTATGGTTGTTAAAAAAAAAGGATGCTGTATAAGTTACGGGTTAAAGGAAAGATGAAAGATGGATGTATTTTAGATAGGAATTGTGATACTCTGTGCATATGGTGGCTTTACTGTATGATGTGTTATGTCCAAAATAAGCAATTAAGGTAATTAACAATTTATTTGTAAAGTAGCTAGTACATTTGTAAGTTCAGTGAGTTAAAATAGCTATTTCTTAGTACCATTGGAGAAAATGGGTGTAGTATATGGTATTTTATAATAATATGAATAGAATTTATTAAGAGGCATGAGGCATGAATATTTTAGTTATTATTTAGTTAATATATAGTTTAGAATTTTGATGTCCCAGCTTATTTGACTTTTGTTTTGTCTTTAAGAGATGAGATATGAATATTATAGCTAAAAGTTTTGATTATTTCTTTTTGTTTGCTGCAAGCTGGTGAAATAAGCTATTAAGAAATAGGGTAGATAGGTAATGGTTATAAAATACTATATACTAGGTAAAGGCTATGGTTATGAGATGTTATACACTGTAAAAGCCATAAAAGTACAAGTAAGAAATTATACAGTATCTTAGGGAGGTAACATAATTCTTGTTAGAACAGATATATAAAAGGGGAAAAGGCGATGATCTGCAGGTGTAGAGATGGATTGAAAGCAGAATACAATGCAGTGCCAAAGAGTGTGGCTAAAGAAGTAGGAAAGAAAGGTAAAGTTAGAGGTAAAATGAGTATTTTATAGTTTATAAAAAGAATGTTGGAAATTTGATAAGGGTTAACTAAGAAAATATGAGAAATTAGGAGAATTTAATAATTATTATTATTGTTTTGTTTTGCTGAAATGTTGTTATGAATTATAGACAGATAAAAAAGAATCATTTGAATTTAATCTCCTATAGAGTTTTATTGTTGGATTAATTGTGATTAGGATTAATGTAAAGAGAGATTTAAGGTGTGGTTAGAAATACACTTAGAAATGTGATCTGAGATGATGTTGGGGAAGGTGGAAGTATTTAGTCATGTTAGAATTTTGTGTTAAGATATGATATGGTGGTCTTTTTTTGTGTGTATTTGTTGATGTTTATGTATTGTTGTTGTTTGTCTCTTTTTTGTGTTGCAAAATTAATAAAAAATATTGGGGGGTCAAATATATAATTAAATGATACACAAATATTCCTGAAATAGAAAATAGACTAAAATCAGTGAAAGACACTTAAACAAAAGCTATACATTGTGAAAATAATAAGAGTAAGGAATAAATAAATAATCAGGAGATACATAGTAGATAAGGTCAAAGAAAAAAACAAATAAATTGTGGGCTATATTCTGGATAGAATGCTCAGCTACATGTCACTGTAGCAGGAGGTAATAAATGGACTAGACTTATGCATATGAAAGTGGGCTCTCTCTAACGGATTTAAAATTAGGTGACCAGCGGGGTACACCCTAGAAGTAAACATAGTACTATCATGTTCATTTGTGACTGTTTCCTTGTAGTAGTGTGAAGAACTGGGGGTTACTTAGAATGCAAAATACCAGCAGCTGTACTGAAATGTGATGACTGGGAAAATGAGACTGCAACAGTGATACTGATCAGTGAACCTTTATGAAATGGCAGAAAAGAGGCCCGTTGGCAGAAGCATTAGGCTCCACCATTGGGCTCTGTGTGCAGACCAAACTTTAAACCCAGTTTTTGTACTTTTGAGCAAGCCTTGATGAGCTACGCAGAAGGAACATACTAGTACTCCAAATGGCTAATATATCAGACAACTTAGATTTTGTGTGGGAGGGGGTAGCAAATACTTGGTGTGATACCGCATCACTTGTCTCTAGATATTACTGTTTAAATTAATAGGATCAGTAGTAGCCATAATTCTCTCATAACATTTAGTTAGGGTATTCATTTTTAAATGCCATGATATCTCTATACCTGTGAATTTTGGAAGTCACAAAAATCCAGTCTTTTGACCTCTTGAGTGAAGGTTGTCATATGGTTTCATTACAGCTTTACATTGGGTACTAACATCCCACATTTATCTGTCTTTCAAATAATCATTAACTTCTCAGTAGGTTGGATATCTGGTACTCCTTTGTTTATTAGTAGTTCTTATCAGTTTTATTATGTAGTGTGCTATGAGTGTGTGAGTGAAAGAGTATCTATGGAAGAATTAAGTATTTTGTAGTATACTATGTCCATAGTCCAGCAAAAAGAATTGTAACCTTAAGCCAACTGATTTCATGCTTAACTTTGTTGATAATATAGCCTTATCACATGAATTTACCTTTTGATTTTCAAGGGCAGATCATTCAAAAGAATATTTTTGCAACAATCACAAAATTGATGTCGTAAAAAACTATATTCAATGTACATTTTGAGATGTATGCATTTCTTATAGCAGTAAATTATCATTTGATCAGGAATGTTTAAAACTTTGAAAAAGTGCCAGAATGGAAGAACAGCCAACACAACTTTCATTGTAAACTTCTTGCTTTAGTTTTTAGCAGAAGACTACACGCTAATGGATGTTCTCTGCTATGTTACACGAGATGATCTAAAATGCCTTAGGCTCAGGTAATTTTACCTTTTTAAAAAATAGATAACATAGTACTAATTTTTCCAAAGATCTTATTGTTCTTTTTACAAACAATAATTACCATGAACTTTTATTTATAAGATTTTGTGACTGTTGATACCATGCTTCAACATTTATTGCACATTTATACAAAATCTTTATGTATTCGACTTCATACAAATGGTGCTGAGTTTTTCCTCACTGAAAAGTATGTAAGATAGCTAAAGTAAATCCAGTGCATATATTTAGCGATAATATGGATAGTGGACTATTTAAATAGAAAAAGGATTCATGTAGGTAAAGTTTGCACAAAGCTCTCTCCTTATGACTGATTTTATATTCTAACATTGTTATGCTGTATCCATTCTTAGAATATACTACTAGAAAGTCTAGTTGACAGGCGTGATCATTATCAGTCACAGCTTGATCCCATCCTGTACATTTGCTGTTGGGTTCAGTACACATAGAATAATTTATCTCATGGTTAACTGGAACAAAAGGAACTGTGGTGGCTCAAGTGGTTAAGACGTTGAACTGCAGGCTGTGGAAGGTCAGTAGTTCCGCAGTTCAAAACCCAAGTTGCCGCATGACGGAGTGAGCTCCCGTCTCTAGTTCCAGCTCCTGCCAACCTAGCAGTTCGAAAGCAAGAAATTGCAAGTAGATAAATAGGTACCACTTTGGTGGGAAGGTAACAGTGTTCCGTGCGCCTCGGTGTTTAGTCATGCCGGCCACATGACCACAGAAACATCTTCAGACAGCGCTGGCTCTTCGGCTTGGAAACGGAGATGAGCACCGCAACCCTAGAGTCGGACTCGACTGGCTTTCGAGCAAGGGAACCTTTAACTGGAACAAACTTGCTAGACCCTGAGTCAATATACTTTCTCAGCCTCACAAGGTTGTTGTGAGGATAAATTGGGGAAGTGCATTTTTATTCTGTCCTGTTTCCAAGGGCCTCAGAGTGGCATACATTGTTCTCCCCCAGTTTATCCTCAGAACAACCCTGTGAGGCTGAGAGAGTATATTGACTCAGGGTCTAACAAGTTTTGTGGCACTGTGGGGATTTAAAGCCAGGTCTCCTAGACCTTAGTTTGATACTCTGACCACTGTATTACTTACAAACATAAGAAGAGCCATGCTGGATCAGATCCATCTGATCCCCATCCTGTCCCCCCACCTAGTTGTCTCTTTTCTAAACTGAAAAGCCCCAGACTCTTCAGCCTTTCCCCATAGGGAAGGTGCTCCAACCCCCTAATTATCTTGGTTGCTTCTTTTCTCCCACTCCTTCTCATTCCTCATACAATAGTTAATACAGAGGTATTTATATTAGTGTTTTAACTTTGGGTATTTTTGCATATTCCTTATCTGTAATTAAGATTTAAACCCTGAATTGTCAAGAATAAGAATGTTCATTGTTTTAGCACCACTTTTTACATTAAAATATTCACAAGTGACTCTTTCCAGACTACAAAGAATTTTTAATATCACTTAGGAATTGTGTTGTTATGGGGAACTTTAAAAATGTGTTTTGCTATTGCTTGGAGAATGTCCCAAACCTGTTCGTTGTAAGTAAAAAGTCCACTGTGATTTTCTGTTACAGAGGTGGGATTTTATGCACACTGTGGAAGGCTATCACTGACTTCCGAGAGAAGCACACCTGACCTTGCTGAAAAGAATTCCTCTATCTCCACAGAGAACTGGAGCTTTCCTGAGGCACAGAGCAAGATTTCTGTCAAAGAGATGCTGTTGCACTTTAATCCAGTATTTGTTTACCATTGTTAAGAACACTGCAGCTTTCTGGCTGCATCTTCTCCTAAGTCTGTAAGGACTATGTCTACAACATTAAATATTATTTTAGTTTAATTTTTTTTTAACATAGAACCTTCTCTTTTTCTAAAATGTTGGAACAGCTATTATGTTTAAGAAAAGCCAATGTTGATCTTACACAGACCAGTTGTAAGATTTTGTGTGATTCTTACATCTTTGAAACAAAACCAAAATGTGAAAATTAACTTTTCCAGTTTTGTATATATATCAGAATGTGTGAAAAGGCAAGGGTAAATTATGAGACTGAACCTGGCCTTCTCCCTGTGGAAAGGAGGCACATCATTTCCATATTAGGGTGGCCTTGTGTACAGCTTGGAGCTTTTTTAGGGCTGGTGCTGTGAAAAACTGTGTGGCAGGATTAAGTTTCTTGTAGGCAGGGGCGAAGGCCCCCAGCCAGAAGCATTTCTCAAAATCCTTGTGTGTGTGTGTATATTCATAATCTGGAGTGGAATTATCATGTATAATTTATTTGGTGGCTTTTCATTCCTCCTAGTATGCACAATGTAACTGTTGGTACTTTAAATCCACTTTAAATGTTCAAACCATTTATTTTTAGTAACTTAACTCCCAGTTTTCAGTGCATTTGTTTTTAGTGTTATGTACTACTGAACTGTACCAGTTGCATATGCCTGAACTACATACAGTCCTGTTAGCTTGTTCTAAAGCTATCCATTGTGACATACATTTAAGAAATAAAGAATAATGTACAGTTCTAACACAACTCGTGAATGTTTTTAAAGGCATTACTGAAAGGCTTGAATTATAACAAACAGGGGTAAATGACACAAAGTTTGAGTGCAGTGGAACCTTTAAGATTAACAAAGTTTTACTCTAGGTAGAAGCTTTCGGGTGCACACACACTTCTTCAGAGGTAAATGAAGAAAAATGAAAATAAAACAGCTATTGTGAATAAAACAGACAGGTACCACACTGCCACAGGTCAAATGAGGATGAAAACAGCAGAGGAGGAAACAAGAAAGAAACAAGAAAACAGCAGAGGGAAAAAAAAAACCTAGTTCTCTCCCTTGCTTCTCTGAGCAGATTGGCAGATCCCTGCAGGTGGATTTCAGTAATGTGTTTTCACAGATCTCCCACTGAACATGTTGTTAAGCTCTGCGTCAGCATACACAAGATGTGACTGTTTATGTGCTTGAAGATCCATGAGGCTGCCTGATACAGAATCAAACCATTGGTTCATCAAGGTCAGTACTGTCTCCTCAGCCTGGCAGTGGCTTTCCAGGGTCTCAAGGAGGGGTCTTTCACATCCTCTACTGTCTTGCCTGGTCCTTTTTTTTTTAATTCTGTTTTTTATTAATTTTTATAACATTTACAACTCCACAACCATACAATGTAACTTAATAACTTAACTTTAGACAAATAGCAAATAATTAATCATAAACATACAAAACCATATAAATCTAGAACATCAATCATAATATAACAATTCTTGTAGATGTATATACCACATTTAAAACTAATATAATGCAAACTTATTATATTTAATAGGAAGAGCATTAAATTGACTCCCTTCAGTTTCTATATATTGAAAAAGGGAAAACCATTTTTCCAAAAAAAATGTATTCTTTTTAACACAACCATCCACAATTAACAGTTGCATAGCAATTTTATCATTAACTACTATATCCCAAATTTTATCAAACCAAAGTCTCAATGTTGGAATTTTAACAGATTTCCAAAGTTGGGCAAGTGAGGTTTTTGCTGCCAGCAATAACAGAGCCACTATTTCTGTTTTCTGATTAGTCATAAATGAATCACTCCAACAATTTAATAAAAGAGACTCCAGAGAGTTTGGAATCCTTATACCAGTTATTTTTTTCTATGATTGGCAACAGCGTTTTCCAAAATACTTGCACCTTTTGGCATGCCCACCAGCAATGTATGTATGATCCAATATCATTAAAACATTTCCAACATTGAGGTGAAACAATAGAATGACTATAGTAAAGTCTTTGAGGTGTAAGATACCATTTGGAAAAAAACTTTATAATTTTGAAGTTTGATATTTAAGAATCTTGTGGTATATAC